ATGACAGATGAGAGCATAGTAAAAGCATGCTGGAAAGTGCGCCACACTTGTTATAGTACCACACCCAAATATTCTCATTTCACAAACCATTGTATAAAATAGTTACAATTTAACTTATCAAAAGAATCGAACTTTCCTTAGTCTCTTATCAATTGCTTCAAATGCCTGGTTCTTAGAGAAATGTCTTTATTGATTGTTGACTTGTTAGCACTCTATGACACCCATCCATATTTGCAAATGAAACTACCGTGAAAGCAGATACCGTGCCTCTTCCATCCCCCACAATGTTGAACTGAACAAATGGATAATTAAAGCTTTTGTATTTGATTTTTCAAGTGGTAGTACCTTAGTACGTTCTCGCTGGATAATTTAAACGTCGTTCTTGAAATGAGCACTGATTCAACTTTTTAGCAAAATAAGCAAGAAAACACGTTGTACAAAACCAGAAACAGAGATGATTTAATATTGACTACATTCTTACCAAATAAAGATGTCATTATTCCAAAACAAAAACAAACAAAAAAGAGTGTATACTATTAAAATTTCTAGTAATTTTACAAATGAAGAAGCTGAGGTTAATAACCTTACTCAAGAGCATGCCACCAGTGAGTGGCAGAGGCAAGATCTGAAATAAGGTAGTCTGGCTAGATAGAAGTGACTTTTAGCTCATAAGGAACAGACTGCAAAGTGCCCCAAATCTGGAGTGCTTGAATCTAGGTTTGAATTATGCCTTTAACCCATATGTTCTGGATGGATAAGTCCTTCAACTTTTCAGAATCTGCCTGGGTCAGATGTGTGGGAATTCTCAGATGATATTAATTCCTTTATGGTTTATAATTATAACCAAGGTCCCCCAAATGTGACAAGGAGTCATTCATCCCTCCAGATCTCTCCATTTCACACCCAAGACCATCCGAGTAGCAACAGGTTCAATCTCAGTCCCAAAGCCAATTTTATCCTTGACTAGAAGGGCTTTCCTACGTTTTTGGTAATGCAGAAATTGGCTTTCATCATTCTTCTACAATGTGTACCCTAGTTCTGTCTTGTTCTCTGCAATGCTCTGTATGATATATGCTTGGTATATGTGGCAATCACATTCAAACCCCAAACAGTAATGAGGGAGGGCAGTATAATAATATCTCTTTCACAAATGAAGAAACTGACACAGACAGGTGAAAATGCCCGGCGGTCATTTAATACTGTCAGATTTGGGATACAAACCTAAGTCAGTCAGCTGACTCCAAGGTCATTATTTCTCCTCTATAGCAAGCAGTTCTCAAGCTGCATTCCCAAGATTCCATGGAGACTCAAGGGCTGTCAGGGAGACTGGAGAAGTGGAAGGCATGCTCATCGCACATTTAGGGATAGCTATAACTTGAGTGCCACATGCTCTTCATATCTTTTTTTGCCTGTCTGCCTGCTGGGCTTCCTTCTCCTATCTCTTGGAGAGGAATCTCAATCCAAACACATCCACCTTGGCAGTGCATTAATCTTCTTCCCAGTTGCTCCAGCAGGGCTCCAGTAACTGTTTCACTCCCAGCATTCTCCCCAAATAACAGGCTATTAGTCATGACGGTAATCTTAGAAATGGGAACACTGAGGAAGTAAACTGATGTGGCTCAGCCATCTAGAATACTGGATGACCTCCCAGGTCATTTGTCCTTAAGACTTAATTTCTGCAAAACACTTCTATTTCATTATAAAATTCACTATTCAAACCACCTAGTTTAAAATGAGGAATCCTTGTGGCACTGTTGAGTCATTGTTGGACTGCTATCCACAAAGGCAGAGATTCAAACCTACCAGCTACTCAAGGGAGAATTATGCCTTAGAAACCCTATACAAGGTAGTCAGAATTGACTCAATGGCAGTGCATTTATTCTAAAATGCTCTACAATGTTTTAAATCGTGACATCATACTAAAGACTTAAGTTAAAAAGCTGCAAAGTTTTCTAAACTTTTCTCCTTTGCATAATTTTATAAACTTTACCACGATGTGATTTCTTAAAGAGTTTAACGGGTGAGAGAAAAATCAAGTTTGAAAATATTAAAAAAATCTTTATTTTTAATTTATTGCTCATGACAAATACACCCGTAGCTCACAGTAACATCAAACAAAATATTTTATGAGGTAGCTATGAACGTCATCTATTTTAATTAATGAAAAAAAGTTTGACCTATCAGCGATGACCTTCAGTTTGACACCATGAGACTTCTTTAGGTCATTAGCAAAGTAAAGTGCAATAAGTATCACTACCTTGCCGTGTCACCAACTCAGGACACATCCTTTTTGAAGCCAGATAGTTAAACACCTTGGGTGTACTGCTACTGTTTCTCAAAATAAACCATCTCCCTAAGACTCTGCTGAGGCACGATGTATAAAAAACAAACTTCTAGGCACCAAAAGAAGCCTAAGGAATGAAAGCTTCAATGGTAGATCAGGAAAGGTTCATGTCGAACAAACTGTTCTTTATTAAAATTGGCACATATGCTCCGGAATTTGTCTTTACAATTTAAATGAGGGAACCTCGTGGCGTAGTTTTAATGAGATAAATTAAAACAAAGCCAAAGCAACTTTTATTGATTGTGGTCCCATAACACAAACATCCCCTAACAACTGGGGAGTTTTAAGGAGACAATAATATGATCAGAATACCATGTTCAAAAGCACTATTTCCAAATGTTCACTTTCTCAGATGAGCTGCTGAGGAATTTTGAATCGAGGGTCAATGATAAACTAACTAGTCTTCACTCCATTTCGTTCACACAGTTTATTAGCAATAGAATGAGGAAACCTCCATCGTGATAGACATAAAAGTAAATACAGGAAAGATGCAGAGTACATTATTTTATACAAACTAACAGATAAACTTAAGTTTCATCACACGTACCAACAACCATCAATTCCCCACACTTCCATCTTCCTCATTTTATTTGAAGGGGAGGGTGGCTATGTCCTGCCCAGGTAATACCAACCCATCCCCTTGGCCAGGCTTTCCCAGACTCCCTTTGAACCAGCACTGACTGGTGAGATGTAAGAAGACATTTGCTAGGGGCTTCAGTCAAAGATTTTCTTCTCAAATAAAGGGATGAAAAACTTTAAAGGAGAAAACCATTTGTCCCCTAATTCCAGCCTTTTATTGGGGTTGAAATATCTGAAGCAGCAACAAGGCCTATTTTTAGCCTCATGAGGGAACAATAGAACAAAAAGCCAACATACGGACCTCAGAGGGGAAGAACAGGAAGAACCTGGGTCCTTGATAACATTGTTGAGCTGATACACAAGCACTGAACCACCTTTCCTTTACTTCTGATATTGTTCAGTGGCCTCTGAGATGTTTTAAGTAGCCTGCTCTAATTTGCTAAACCTCAATTCCAGTTCTGTGATAGATTAATCCCTGAAGGCCAGAAGTGGTTAAAGCCAACTAGACCTTCTTAGTTCTAAGACAGAGGATTCTCCTAGACTGTTAATAGTATGTATGGTACAGGTACTTCCCCATTTCCAGGAACAAGTCTTTGCTTGTAAAGGGTCAATTAAGTTCCTGTTTTTGTGTAACCTGTGTAGGTGCTGCTTGATAAACTGTGATTTCTCTATGAGTAGTTATCAATTAAGACAGCCATATCGAAGATGGCGCAGAGTAAACAATGAATATGAGGAATATATGAATATATGGTATGTGTGTTCAGGAGATGTACATACATATATTACCATCATCATCACTAATCAATCTCTACGAGAGTAGATTCAGAACGGAACTTCTTAATGAAAGTGCATAATGTTTAGTTGTTTTACTGGAATAATCTAGGTCCAACTACAGTGAAGCTATTATTCCCCCCAAATTAGCCCTGGGCCTACCACTGTGGAGCCTCTCCTCTAGGACTAATCTTGTCACATGATAATAATTAGGATGTGGAACTTTTCAGGAGGTTGGCCTCCTATCACCTTGGGGGGCAGGATTTGTTTGGTTTTAGATGAGCAGTCTAGCTGAAATACTGAATTTGTGCTGAATAAAATATGCCTAAGCCAGGGAAGCATATTCAAAGTAGTGGCAGTGTGGCAGAAGTGAGTCGTTTCCCATCTACCCTAGGGTACTAACACAAAAGCCTCTAGACTTGTAACTAAAGTTACTTGCTTTGGCCAAGTTTTTTGTTTAAGGTTTTGTCTGTTCTGCTCAAGACTAGCTGTAGAGCAGGGTTAAAACCAGCTACTCTGGAGTCATGGATCCTTTTCCTAACCAGGGGTGGACCTAGAAGAAATGGGTGGCAAGCTTTTTCAAAAGTCCACCTAGAGAGGTTCTGGGGAGCCCATTCAAGTGGAAAAGACCAAGGAAGAACAAGGCTTCTATTGGTAGGATTATCAGGGTAACACTCAGGGCAATAATCAGCTCTGTTAATCCGGTCTAAAAAGACTTGGTAACATTCATTTTCAATAAGTTCGGTTTGATACAACCAGTGGCCTAGTTCTAAACTAGGGAACCACTGCTGTCCACAGTCAGGGCAGTGTGAATTATCTGCGAACATCTGGGCCTAGAGAGACAATACGAAGGAAGCCAAGTAATAGCAGGACCCAATGGTAAAGGGACACCCAAACAGCCAGGCCTGTTACAGGTTTGGTTTAGCAATTTCTCAGTTCAACCCACAGTAATTTAGGAAAGTCAACTTTGGCTTGCACCTCTGTGCAATTCTTCAGGATTTCGTTGTCTATTTTCCACTCAACTGTCATTCAGTCTCTGCACTCAAGGACCCGATGCAGTCTACTATGTTATCAGTCAAAGATCTCAGAGGATCCTTCAAATCCCAGCTTCTCAAGAAAACACAGGGTTCTAGTACAAATTAGTCTTCCTTGCACGTTATCAGTTGGTGGTGCTGTTAAAGAGAGACACTTGGCTTACTCTGCTTTGTTGGGAAGGTTAATATAGCTACTTGGTGCAACAGAGGAACTGATGGGTCCAACGAATCTTTTGTTGGTGCTGGCACGCTTGCCGTTGTAATACACGTACCCAAGTCTGAAGGCGTTGGCGCTTTAGCACTGAAGGAAGGTCAAATAAACCTGGTAGGGCAGGCACTCTTGAGCGTGGATCCAATGAAATCTTGAGGGAATCTTAACAGAACCCAATAAGCAGCAGTAGTTGATGTGAGTTGGTTGGAGAGTCTAAGGATGCTTCACACACCTGTAAATGATAAAACTTCAGACGACTCATGGATTTGATAGGTATTCACAGTATTATTACAAACATGCATTTGGAAATCATTTGGATCAATCAAGGTGGACAAGAACTTGTTTCTTGAATCTCTCCGTGGGAATTTAACATGGATTCAAATCAATTTACCTGCTGGGAGTTATGCTTATATGGGTATCAGGGAGGGTTTGCATTCATTTAAGATTTGTACTAATAGCACTAGCACATTTTTTAGGACTACATCCTTCTTTCTACTGCTTTTTACATTTTGGGAATTCTATGGTCTATGTAAACCAAGTTTAACCTGGTAAAACTTTTGAGATTCCTTTTATACATCTTTTGAGAACTAAGTACTATATGCAGTTTTATTCCCAGGGTAGGAGAATGACGGAGATATTAAGACTTTCAAAAGTAAGCTTGAACCCATCCAGGTGAAAAGCTTACAAAAAGATTAGATAACTTATTAATGGCTAACCACACAAAGTTATTTGAAATCCTTTTGAAAGGATAAAGAACCCCAGAAAGGAAGGTCTCATTGCTACACGATTGGAAGTTTATAAAGGACAAGTAAGGCAGTAGTCCTGGGCTACTCAAGGAAATGCTTGAAATTTTTAAGTGCTCAATCGTCTTTGTACTCCTCCATGACACTGAATATAACATATAAGTAAGGTGGGTTAGTGGAACTTTTAGAATACTAGAGGGCATGCCACAGTTTATCAGAACACAATGTGTATCCTGCCTTTCTCCTCTGCTTTCTTTTGTTGAGAATTTAGGGCTTGAACCTAGAGTACTAAGAAACACTGGGGAAGGGTGAGTTTTAAACTGTATAAAGATTTGGCCTGAATAACAAAAAAAAAAACCATTTTAACTTTTATTAAAAATAAAGATTTGGCCTGAAAAGCAGAGGAAGTAACATTCTTCGTTGTGGTCAGCCAAAGCATTCTGAGATTTCAAAATGAAAAATTTTGAAAGAGCCTCTGACAGTATCACCTGTAGGTTTGCTGGGTACCCCAGAAGAGGAGAATGAGACAGCCAGTGTGGACACTGAGAGGGAATTTGAGGTTAGGTAATAATGCCTGGACGAATTTAGCTGCAATTCAGCTCCTCAGAGTGGACACACAGTAGGGATGATCCTGGCTCCACTTCACACTTGGCAAAGGCACTGGGCATAGCAAATTCCCCTGCATCTCTGTTGACCACAGCCATCAGTTTCAGTTGTTGAATTATGAAATCTTGGGTGATTGTCATGGTACAGATAGGCAATGAATAAAACGACATAGTCTTGAAGCTCATGAAAAAAGAGATTAGTATGGGGCTAAGTCTGACATTAAAAAGTGGATTTTTTAAAAAGTGAATTCTCAAAAAAAAAAAAAGTGAATTCTCAGGGAAAATTAAAACCACAGCTATATAACATTTCACATCCGCCAGGCAGGCAAATACCAACAAGTCTGACAATGGGGGTTAGATGTGCTGTAGGCAAAAGCACCCTTCTTGGGGCTCCTCATCTCCATGGAAGGCGTCAAGAAGAAGCAGCAGAGTTCCAAGCGCTCACAGTTTAAGTCCACACTTCCCCAACCTTCACTTCTCCAAAGCTGAGTCAAGCAAGCACCAGGGCCCCCAGGCATCCGGGAATCAAGAGAATTCCAATGTTTGTATGTTCTAGATAAGACCACTCCTGCCCATGCTCCTCTATGCAGCCAAGGGTAGGGATCAAAAGGAGGCCCCAGAGACTAAGTGTTCACAATAATATCTCATCACTAGCTTCCTCACTCATTTCTCATCCTCACTGCTAAGGTGGGGCCCAGAAGTATTCCTGAAGATTGCTAACCTCCCTCCACCCAAAATTCTCAGCTTCACTACTCTCTGCTTAAAAGTTTGAAAACCATCCCATCATGTCCTCTATCTGTTTACGTCAGTCACCACAGGAAGCACAGGACTTCCGGGCCATCCCTTACCTATCCGTCCCTCAAACTCAATCCCTGCTATTCTAAGAGCCATGAGGAAACACACCTTCCCCTTTATTTTTTCTATAAAACACATATACGTACTACCATTTGATAACTATTTAGCTGTTTGTCTAAAATAGCACCCTGAGAAGCAGGCATTTCTAGCTTAATTACTGCTACAAAGTGTCCAATAAATATACTTAATGGATAAATAGCAAAATTAAAGAGCAACTTGAATCTTCATGATCTTATGATAGGACAGGACATTAGTACAGCCACTTTTACATTACCTAGTAAAGCTGAAAGCAAGCATTTCCTAAAACCCTGCAATTTTACACCCTAGAGAAACTTGAACATTTGTATATAAAAGCATGCATAAAAATATTGTGGTAAACCCATGTAACAGCAAAAAAGACCCAGCCAAAATTTGCAAACAGAATATATAAGTAAACTATGGTAGAATTTAGTAGACCCTTTTTGGAGGCTCTGGGATATGAACTGGGCGGCTAACCTCAAGGTCTCAGAAACCCTCAGAGTCACTATAAATAAGAATCAACTCAATTAAAGTAGGTTGGGGGTTTCTTGTGAAGCAGAACCAACAATTCACCACAGTAATAACCAGTCATACTTATGAAGGAACGTATATGTGTGCAGGAACAGTGCTACGTCACATGGTGCCTCTGTGGAACCAGAGAACCTCACTGATGATGTAATCAAGGGTACAATGATCCTGTCTGTGAAACACTACTACTGTTAATAGCAAAAGATATTTACTAAGTGCCACTTTCATTCACCTATTCTAAAAAAAACAACAACAAAACTCCATCAAGCCAATTCCAACTCATGCCGACCCTACAGAACTGCCACTGTGAATTTCCAAGACCAGGAGGAAAATCTCATCTTTCCTCTGGTGATTCTGAATGCTAACCTTGGCCTAGTAACTCAAAGCTCCTCACTTCACATACATGAACTCATTTAACCCTTAAAAACAAAAAAAAACAAAGGGGGGATTATTATCCTCATTTCAGAGTTAGGAAAACAGAGGTTATACAATTTGCCTGAGGTCACAGGCAGTTGTAGAGAAACCAAGATTTGAATCCAGACAGACTGGTTCTAGAGCCTGCATTCTTGTTAGCTTGCTGAAGCAGTAACTGCAATCTGAAGAAAAATCCATTGTGCAAGCTGTTTGCCAAGCTACAGGAGGCTCCACAATTGTGTCAATGTATTGGGCGGGAGCAAGGATTAGATCACCCCTCATAATTTTCCATTTACAAACAAAAAGATCCAGGAGTGGTTTGAGGGAGTACTGAATCCTTTGAAATTATGTTTAAATTTCTTTTTCAACTTATAGTCATCTTATAACTTGGGTTGTACTAGATTCCTTATTATTCATATTATTCTTTGAATTGTTCCATGGCCATTGGGAACTCTAGCACCTTGGTTCTTGTATTCCTTTGAGACGTTCCCGTTCCCATCATAGAAGCTTCTGCGCACTTGCCTCCTAGTACAAATGGATGCTTCAGCTTCATTGTGTATAACGGGCTTCAAAGTTCATAGAAACATTCCTTATCTTTCAGTTACAGCTTTCCACAAACTTTTTGAAGCTCTTTTTTAATCTGCCCTGGAAGCAACCTTTTCCCCATGGAGCCCTGGTTCCTTTTATTGGAGAAGGATTATTAGGAGAAAAACAATCTGAGTGCTTGGGGTGTTTCTTGCTATTGGTCATTAGTTTCTAGCCTCTCTGAGTTAAGAGCCATGTGTATGTATACAGTTGCTCTCACCAGTAGCCATCAGATCAGCTCCAAATCACAGCAGCCCGAAGTACAACAGGCCCACATGCTGCCCAGGCCAACATCCTCACTCTCACTGTTTTCTCAAGTTCATGGTTCCAGCCACTGTGAATGCTGCCATGTAAAAATTTTTATGTACACATGTGCATTTTCTTCCAGGAAAGATGTTCAAATAAAATCTGTAACCCTATAACAGTTCAGAACCATCAAGGCTCAATAGTTCCTAGTCTGTTTACTATCAAGAACACCTACCCTCAGCACTTCACTCCCCCTTTTCACATTTTGGTAAGATATCCAAAAAGCCTACACTCTTGTAATAATTTCACTTTCTTTAATCAGATGTAACGATCTGCTAGTAACCAACACTACTTTTTATCTAGCAATGTTCCATATTTTAAACTAGAAATTATATTAAATGACTATAAATTTTAAGTATTTGGCCTCGCCCAATCAAACTCCACTTGGGATATACGGGTCTCATATAATTGTATTAAAATCCATATTACCTCAAAAAACTTTGTCCCCTTTATTTCAGCATGACTTCCATTACTGAAACACATAGTATCAAAAAAAAAAAAAAATTTGGTCATGAAAGTTTTAATAAAAAGCAGCCAATACCATTCTATGATGTTCACCTTCCCAACACAACCACTGAAGACAAAAGCGGGTGAACAAGCAAATGTGGTGAAGAAAGCTGATGGTGCCCTGCTATCAAAAGATATAGCGTCTGGGGTCTTAAAAGCTTGAAGGTAAACAAGCGGCCATCTAGCTC